TTTTTTTTTTTTTTTTTTTTAATTTGTTATTATTATCGTTACCCGTACGAATTAATCGCGTAATAAATATCTCGAAAATATTTTCCGCGCCGTCGTAGGCATAATAAAATATGAAAAAAAAAAAAAAAAGAAACCGCGTGGGGCACGGCGAACTAGGTAAAATATTATTAATATATATTTTTTTATCATCATTACCCGACGGTCGGCCGGCTGCGCACCGATAGAATTAACGACCACGATAATAATAATGGCCGCGCAGCCTACCCATAACGACGAGAGCCCGCGGTTTAATTATTATCATCGTCATTATTATACAGTAATAATAATAATAATAATAACAACAACAACAATAATGTTATCGACAACCTTTGTTTTTTTTTTTTTTTTCCCCCCGTGATTTACCGGAGTCCGCGTCTCTGGGCGATTGTTTATTATTATTACATAATGTACCGCGACCGGATTATGCGTACGGAAACGCCGCGCGTAAAATATCCGATATTAATTTTGTTTCCTTTCTTCCGGACAATCGCTACACCAGCCGTCGGGATATTTTAATAACGACCTTCTTAATGTACCTCTCCACTCCGGTTCATTTTCAAAAAAGGCGCTACGCTTCAAAATCCGAGCAAGTCTTTTGGTAGAAAAGTTGCGCGCAGATAACAGCGCATAGAGGTGTGCAAAGGGCATGCGTTGTTTCTCTGCGCATAAAATATCCAACATTTAATGAGGTTTTACAAGCCAAAAAATCAGTTTCTGGCCTAAAACGCAACTAATACGTCACAAAATCGTTTAAAACCAAGAGAAAATAATTGAGTGTTCAATATTCACGAGCAAATAGATTCGACGTTTTATTGATTGAATTTTCCGTGATGATTGCAAAAACTAAAGATATTACTGAAAAACTCGATGTTGAAAAAAGTTTATTATTTTAATATTAAATTCGTTGATAATTATGTAAAATAAAATATCGTCGCTAACGTAGAGCTTTTTTTCAATATTAATTTGGTTTTGTAATTTAAAATCCAGGGGGTGCAATTGCACCCACTCGCGCCCTCTTCGTGGCGCCTACGGCTACATATACGTCACAGTGTGTTATTGATATTAAAATATAATATCGAATGGGTTATTTGGAAAAGGGAACACGTCCGGAAATTGTTCCCTTTTAAAAAAATTAACGAAATAAGACATACGCATACTGTTATTGTAATATAAACCGTTGAACGCGTGTTTTGTTTTCACAATAAATTTCTGCAAGGGACAGAGTATTTTTGTAATAAATAATAAATCGCCGATAAATCCGATTCAATGAAGATGCCTCGATGGTAAAAAGACAGTTTTTGACGTTCGCGTGTAAGGTGAGAAGACCGGATGGGAAAAATGAATTAAATAAAAATGCGTCAGAGAGAATATTAGTCTCGGATTTATAAAAAAGCCGTCATGCAATCGCTGTTTTTCAGCGTGGTTTTCGAGGTTGTAGACGACGTAGAAGAAGAAGATAGAAGATCGTACTATAACGTCAATGAAATTAATAGCGGCTGTTTCGGGAAATGACCAAACCTAAGGCGTTTTCATATGATGTCAACAACACAAGGTTTGGGGAAAAAAAAAAAAAAAATCGTCCAAGAGACGGTAACGACAAAACGACTACGCAGTACCGTAGGCCATTAAGACGCAGTTGGAAATTGTAGGAACACATTGCGGGTACTATTGCGAGTGCCACAGTATCACAGGTTTTCGACGGTAGATTGTATCTTTATCAAATCGGCTAGAGTGATTATTGTAATTTATCCGCATTAGTTCTCCGTGTCAGTAATACTGTTCCCGTCGAACGTCAACGAAACCGTACGAATTCGCGTAAAATCAATTATACTATTATTGACTATGAGCGATCGCGTATCAGATTCCCGACGCTCGGCGATTTTTTTTCGAGAAATAAATAATTGTTTGTTTTTTTTTTTTTTTCACGTAGCAATGTAAACCTATCGAATCGCGTCGTTTCGGCCGGTAACGGACATCGTGGTAATCACACGTAGAACAATCGCTCCGGCGCGCGCGTTCGAGTGGCGAGTGTAAACGAGAAAAAAAAAAAACACGCCTCTCGTACCGCGTCGGTATGCGGCGTACCCGTGCACCGCGTGCAGACGCGGCGCACGACGGCGACTTATTTATCGAACCGTTGCGCGGGAGAGAGGGAAAAAAATAACAACAACAACAACAATAATAATAACAACGACGACAATGACGATAAATATTATGACAACACCCGTAAAAATGGACGGAATTCGTCGGAGAGGCCCTGAAGGGACGCGCCGGATTAGTTATAGCGCTACGGTTTTCGGTCTCGCGCAGCGCACCCCGCAGCATGCGTCGGTTTTGTTCGGCCGCTCGATCCTCGGCGCGCGCGCCACGGGGTTCCTGCTGCGAGGCTTATTATTACCGGCCGTGTACGCGCGCACGCGGCGTCCCTTCGCAACACAATAGCCGCACTCGCGTTTTATACCGCGCGTTACATTACGCGTTACAGAAACAGAGTGTATTACGTTCCGCGGCCGCGTCCGGTTGTTGTTTTTTTTTTTTTTCCCTTCACAGCAGCCGCTGTTTCCCGCCGCCGCCGCCGCCGACGGTAACCTTTCCGATAACGACGAAAGGACCGGACGAGGCGCGCGCTGTTAACGTAACGACAGCGCGGTCGTTGTTTCACCGGAACCCCAAAAGCGTAAAATACGAAACGCACGCGAAGAATTTGAGTTTTGGTAAAAAAAACAATAATAAATCGATTTCGCCGGATTTTCCCGAGCGCTGTTCGGCGTCGTACGATTACGGATTTCGTCGACCGGCATCGAAATCAAGCTAAAACTTCATTGGCCGGTAGGTTGCCGTTTGTGAATCGAAACGCTGCGGCGATCACGGCTTCGTCCTCAAACACACGGGCAGTAACAATACAGAAGCAATTTATCGTTTCTGAACGTAGGATTCGAATACATCGTTTATTGAAAAAGTATTAACTTACGACGGTGAAGTTGACCGTAGCATAAAATTCGGAAGATCCTGTATGCATGTATAAAAACGGGCGGGTATCTAATTTTTAAAGTTTTTCGTATCGAATTTACACAACTAACACGATTCTGAGCGTAGTTCAGTCCATAGTGATGCTATGTCGACAATATATATATATCATGTCATACGGTACACGGTAAAATAATTAAATAGGCATTATTTATTTTCTTTAATTATATTTGGTTGATATTGTCACCGATTTTCCCGTTTTTTTTTTTATTTTCAAACATTTCTGTTAAGTCCGACAATTTCACAAAAGAGTACCTACCGAATAAAAATTACGTATAAAATTAAAATTTCTATAAATAGCTTAAAAATGGTTTAAATTTTTTGACAATTTTACCACATTTAAAAAATCAAATATAAGTTTACTGTTTAGAATTTCAAGTCTCTACGAATATTTCGAAATAAATTAGAACGAATAACAAAATTTGGTTTCCCCCCCCCCCCCGATTATTCATCCAAATCGCGACACCAGCGCCTCTCGAGTCTTCTTGGTGGATTTCCAGGAACGTTTGCTGAATTAAGTGCACGAATAAGTGGATTTGGGTGGTTAGTTCGGCGAGTACGAAAACTATTATAAGAGGACGCAGCCACTTCGGCGACAGTCTGTAGTCTAAGATCCGAGCGCAGTGTTTGGTCCGATACATCGAAGGGTGAATTAGTAATTTTACGAAGTGATATTGACCGAAACGTTTGCATTTTGGTAATGTCGGACTTTTTCGCCGCACGTTTAGAATGTTCACCTAAATGCGGGAACAGAGACTTCCGTCTAGCGTTTAGCAAGAGGCGTTTTCGTTTTATACGGTTGACCCAAGTTAGACGTTTACCGAGGACGTCAACCCTAAGTATTTGACACTATTAACCGACGGTATAATTTTATTTGACAGAAAGATCGGGGGGGGAGGGGACTACGCCTTGTCTAAGGTGATACGTGAAGAATTTTCATTGTTTATTTTTCGCTTCGCACAGAACCTAAAATGTCCTAATCGCCCGTGTTTCGTAACGTTTTTATAAAATTACCGCAGTCGCCTCGGTAAAGACGACGGCGTTCAACGCCGTAACGTTATCGCCGTCGACACGAACGCCGAACGTGTTATTTTGTCTGTCGATACGTTTTTTTTTCCAAAGGGATATCGGAACGTTTTTCGTCTCGGACGGTCTTAAAACCCGAACACCTGCCCTCCGCGCGTTATTGTTTAGCGGTTCAACACCCCGAAAAATCGATTCGATCCGGCGGAAATTCGAACGGGGCGACGCGTAAACGGCCGCGGTCCGCGACGGGTGCCGGGCGAAACGGCGACCGTTCTTCGCGGGACGTTTTCGAACCGGGCCGCGCGACCGTGTAATCCGGTGGCCAGCGTGCGGCCCGGCACCGGTGCGCGCGTTATTGTCCACGCGAGACGTACACGCGGTGCGCGGGCGCGCAACAAAATTGCCGTCCGTTCCGCGGTTACGGCGACAGCGACTCGCGGACGGAGAGGCGGGAAAACCGACCAGGGAAAGGGCGGGACGAAACGACAGAAGCGCGGAAATACGCAGAAATCACGCGTCGCGTTACGGCCCGAATGGGACAAAACGGCGAGAACATCGCGGGCGTACGACACGCGTCGCCGCCGGAACGGACCGCGGGGCGACGCGAACGAGAAATATCCCGTTTCCCGTGTTTCGGTCCCGTTTCGCAATACGGCCCGGTCCGGTTTCGTGGCCCGCCGAATTTCCGTACTGGACGCCGCGAGTCGACTTTAGCACCCGGCCGGCCCGGGCGGAGCGCCGTTTGACGAGCGGGCACAATCCGGACCGCGAAAAATTGCACGCGGTTCGAGTGGATAAAACGACGGCGTCCGCGTCCGCGGGTGCGAAACTCCGCGGGGGNGGGGGGGGGGGGGGGGGACGCATTGCGATAGCGGAGAACGCCGGACGCAAACGTTTCCGCGAACGAGGCGTTCCAACGCGCCGCCGTCGCGTCGATATGCGCGATAGCTAACGGGTATTACCCGATAACGCGGGGAACGCGTTTATTGGGCACCCGTTTTTTTTTTCCGCGACCGGCGGGGCGGGCATCGTGCGAATATCCTTGTTTTTTTTTTTTTTGTTTTTTTTCTCGGCTCGGATACCGGCCTTTCGCTGTTAGCGCTCCGAAATCGCCGCGCCGCGACACCTCCAATAGATACGGATTTCCCGTCCGAATTCACCGAGTTCTCGACGGTTTTTCCCGCCGACGGATTTCCGGGTTACTCCGTGCACGTTTCGGCTACGAGCGAAAGAAAAAAAACGCGACCGTACGACGTTGCCTGCAGTCTAACGGCTCAGAATCGGTTTTTTGTTGTCGTACCGCAACGGTTTATCGAAACGGGGTCGAAATGCAAAACAAAAAAAAATTAAATTAATGAACATCTTTTGTAGAACTATAAGCTTCTTCGTTCCACTCGGAATCTAAAAAGCTCATCGAGGCCACACAAAAACGACTGCACACAGCCTCGATGTTTTCTAAGCCGGTCCTGCTCGTATATCTGTATTTTTATAACGGAATTCAACTTATAACCACAGCTTTCGCGAAACAGTAAAAAAAAAAAACCACATAGGCGGGATAAATGCTCATATTGTCCCAACACAATTACGCCACCGCTTTCAATGCATATAAACTATAAATTATTCTATAATATCCTAGATTATTTTCTCAGAATTCAGTGGCGTAAACGTGGTGCGAATTACGTCCAGTCGTTATTATTATTATTTTTTAAAATTGAAAATATCGTGGAAATATAAAATTATATGGGTAGGTATCGTAATAAAATATTCTTAAATTAATAGGCTGTTATTGCGTAATATTCTTCTTCTTCTACTCGATGGCAAATCTTTTCTCCCAGAGCCGTCATCACGATACCACTCCACCGCCTGTCTCTGTCATCTATAATTGCATTCCATTTTCTATGCCCGTTGATCTCAGATACTCTGTGACCCCGTCTCTTTCTCGGTCCGCCCCTCCTCGGACCTGTATATTATTATAATCATTTTCGATTGTGTTTTTTTTTTTATCGAATTGCAATTCAAAAATATTATTGTATTGCTACTTGAATGTGTGCAGATTAAATAACTCCCGACTACAGTCTACAGTATAATAATATAATTATCGGTATAACTGTTGACGAACGATAGTAGGATACAATAACGATTAAAGATTACAAAAAATGGTTTTTAACTCGGATAGAAATAAAAAATTGTCAATTTTAAAGCAAATAATGTTAGTTACTACACTATTATCGGCTGTTTAATTGATGATTCGAGAATTTTATACGGTTACATTCTGTTGATTGATAAAACAAAAAAAAACAAAAAAAACACGGATATACTTCGCACTTGGGCGCACCCAGTGTTGAAGGTGAGAAGTTGGGAAAGTAGGATACAGAAGGGTGTTTAATGTGTATCAATGAGCAACGATAAACCATTGCTAACGAAAAAACAATTCTGAGCTGAGTTTAGTTGATAGTGTTGCTTTGTTAACAATATATATTTATATATGTTATACACTCATATAATGGTAAAATAACTGCAACAATGTGCGTGAAAACAATGATTGTTTAAAAAAAGATTAAAGTAATAAAAACCTAATAATTACAAACAATAAATAAACAGCTGTCGAAAAAATATGTGATTTTAAAAGAAGATATAAAATAATAATTGAATCACGCGAGTTTCTGAGAAATTCTGAATAAATGAAATAACATAAAATAACGGAAAATCGAAAAAAATCACCTCCCGAAAGTACCATCTGGACAACATCTCCACCGTTTCTGGTGGAATTTTCGTACACGGGATAAAAAGAAAAAAAAAATGAACATCATTGTAAAACCGATATATTCTTCGCTTAACACAGAATCTAAAAGTTAAACCCGCGAAATATTAAACGTTCGAAAAATAAAGTGCAATTGAATACTACTATGGATAATACCGTTTGTAACAGTATGTATAAGAATCATTATAAACCTATCAGATGAATACCGGAACGCGTAATTCTCGTGTACAGATAATAATCGCGATTGACTTCGTTCGCGACTGCACGATGGGAGGGGGGAGTGGCAGGAGGTGGACGTGGTCGTCGCGCATATAGAGTGAAATTCGCAGGTCATATTATCGTCAATATACGCAGGCATAAATACATAATACAATATAGTGACGCGGGAGGGGGACCGACTGTAATTCGGTCGCTTATTTGAACCGCCGGGAAGGGGAGGGGGAAAACTCGACGTAATTAAATAAAAATGTGTGCGTACAGTACGCGCGCGTAGGTACCGCGCAGACTATAATATAGACGAGCCGATTGAGAATGAAAAAAAAAGAAAAAGAAAAAAACAATTGTTGAAAACGGAAAAAAAAAAAACCGTACATAATACTATTGTGTATTGGATTTGTAGCCGCGCGCGCGCGCGCTGTACCGCGGCCCGACAACCCCCCTCCAGCCCTCCCGCCGCCCGACGACCGGTTACGCGCACGTAGGCGTATTCGAGGACGGCGAGGAGGGGGTGGGGCGAGGGTAAGGGAATAAAAAAAATGTCGATCCGACCTGCTCGTTTTACGAGTTTAAAGAGTAAGGACGCGTATCGTTATACCCGTAGTCGTACGCGATAAGAATTTCTGCCGGTCGGGACTGGTTGCCGAAATAGGTTCGCAAACGCGTCGCCAGCGGTTTTCAACACCGTTTCTCTGTTTCTGTTTTATTTATTTTTTTTTTATTTTCCGCTCTCCGGTCTTTCTCGCGAGCGCGTCTCGTAATTTACGTGTAATCGCACGCAGTGTACGGCCGTCCTTCACGGCCCCGGTCCGTTTTCGCCCGCGGATTTATACGGTTGCCGCGTACGCCGGCATATCCGCGGCGCGCGCGTGCAACGTGCACGGTAAACCGCGCGCACTTGCCGACAATGCTTACCTACTTGTAACGCGCGTACTGCGCGCCGTACACGCTGCACCGTCTGCACCGCGGTCGGGTATACCGCGCGGTACGCGTACCGGGCGCGCGCTGTATGACACCGTCGTACCCGCCGCCCCTTTGCCCCCGCCCCCTCCCGGCGACCAGGCACAGACACCCCNCCCCCCCCCCCCGCCCCGCCAACAACCCCGATAACAGGTACCCGACAATGCGATACCTACGCACGCGCGTCATTAAAGGTTATTACAAGTACGCATAACCCCCTCCCCGTCCGGCCGTTCGCGCGTATTAATGATAAGCTACGCGCGATAACGACCCCGACCCCGGCCGGTGCCCGCCGCCGCGTCCTTCCGGATCCTCCGCCGCCGCCGGACGCTCTGCGCGCGCGGGCAGGTAGGCGAGGCGTACGGGACAAATAACAACAACAATGACGACGATTGCAATATCGGCAGACCAGTTTCTAGAATAGGATCCTCTGTAAACGCCGCCGAACCAACGAACGGTTACGGCTGCCGCCTTTTTTTTTTCATTAACCGACGGGTCTGTTGTTCGGTTCGGGTGTTTTACGAAAAATATAACTCGATTCTGTTTCGACGCGAAACGGTTTGCGCGCGTAATTCACCGCGAGTATAACGTTATTACGGGTTACGGCGACATTGTGTTCGTCGCAGTGCGTTAACTTATTGCGGAGAGTTTACTCGGGCGGAGCCAAGAGGACCCGGAAATTAACGATAACTGGCGGACGTGCAAAAGGTCCGAAATTCAATCGCGAGCC